ATACTTTGATATTATCAAAAACCAAAAGCCAACATATCTACAAATTGTAAAATATTTTAATAACACTGCCTATCCAGCAGTTAAAAAATTTTTATCAAAGTAATTCAACCTTGACTTCCAACCTGTATTCATTTTAGACTTACTCTTTTTACAATCCTCTTTTTAAGTTCTTTGTCTTCTACAACTAACATTAAAGCAGCCACAACCTTACTAAAAAACACACCTATTGTAGTTAATAAGGAAAATGAAATAAGTAGGCAGGTAGACAAGCCTATTTATGTGGAAGGCCATGTTAATGATGGTCAGACCCAATGTACAGAGCAGACTATGGTACCTTGCACAGCTGTGAGAACCGAGCATATGGTGATTGACTCTATAGAAGACAATTTTAAAAGATTATTTACAACATCTTTAATCCCCTATAATCTTCACACATGCTTTAACAAATTCCTTCTTTATTACAATTTACCACTTCTCCTTCATGATCAAACCATTCAGACCTTAATCCAACATATTAACAAATACCATATAGTTCCAAAAATAAGCACTTCTTTTTTACTATAGGGGTGCTTATTTTTGGATATAACGTGATCAGTATAAGAACCTGTTTTTAATTTATATATAATTTGTTTCCTACTAGTATAAACTTGTTTTTTTAACAATATGATGTCAAATATCATCAAACGTAGCCATAACTCTTATACTATTAAACAATAAAAAGAAGTAGTTGCCTATGCAAAAAAATATAGAAGAAATGAAGTTGCATGTAATTTTATACTTGATAGTAGTATGGTTGGACACTGGATAACTGCGAATACAAATGGAATGATGAAGTAAATTAATATAGTAAATCATTTGGTTCAGGTCGAAAGGCTTTTCATGCAGAAGGTGAAAAAAGGTTATATGAATGGATTATTGAACAAAGAAAGAAAGGATTAGCTGTAACTTACATAATTATGCGACTTAAAATGCTAGAAATTTTAAAAGATCTAGACATATCAGTAACTTTATTATTAAATTTAAAAGCATCAAGTCGTTGAATTCATGGATTTATAAAATGATATCAGTTGGCTTTATGACATCACACAAAAATTTCTCAGAAACTTCCCGAACAAACTGAACAGTTATTAAATAATTTTTATGCTTATATAAATGAACTTAGAGCCCAAAAGTCTTATGAGTTACAAAATATTCTCAATATGGATGAAACTCCCGTCTGGTTCAACATGGCAAAAAATATTACAGTTAATGAAATAGGTAAAAAGACAGTACATATTCATGGAACTGATAATGAAAAAAACTGATTTACTGTTGTATTAACATGTGCAGCAGGTTATTATCTCTTTATTTATTTATTTATTTATTTATTTATCAGTATTTATTTATTTATTATTTAAAATTTTATTTTTAAATTAGATGGAACAAAATTACCTCCTATTTGTATTTTCAAAAGTCAACGCTTATTATCTAAAGAACAAGTTCCTCCTGGTATTATTGTCTGGTTTCAAAAGAATGGATGAATGAATACTAGTTTGATGACAAAATATGTTGATTATCTTAAAAGTGCAAGAAATCATGAATATAAAACCCCAACAATGATGGTGTATGATTCATTTAGAGAACATTTAGAAAATTCAGTAAAAAAAAATTTTGTAAGAATGGATATGATTTAGCAGTAATCCCCGGTGCTTGAATAGTATATGCCAACCACTTGATGTTGCCATAAACAAACCTTTTAAAGACAACCTCTACAAGGAGTGGCATATTTGGATTTCAACTGGTGGTGCAGGTGAAACTGCTAAAGGAAATCTTAAATGTGCAAGAATTAGTGATGTATATAGATGGATCAAAAATTCGTGAGAAAATATTTCTGCTGAGATTATTGTTCAGTCTTTTGAATGTTGTGGTCTATTGAATGATTTAGATCATAATAAGGAAAATAAAGAATTAGAGGTCATAGATTTAAGTAATTGATAAATTTTTTTTGTTGGCCATTCATAATTTTTTTTTTTATTATCTTTGATTTTTTTTTTTTTTTATCGATATATACTAAACACAAAGGTTTTATTCTTTTTTTTTTTTTTTTTTTATATATATAAAAATAACAATTTTTGGCTCACAGACAAGAGATCTTGATATTTAAGTTTTTTTTTTAAATAGACATCAGGGATAATATATATATATATATTAAAAATTATACATACTTTTTTTTAAAATGCTAGATTTTTTTTTTTAGACACTAGAATTTCTTTTTTTTTTTAGATGCTAGAATTTTTTTTTTATGATGCTAGGATTTTTTTTTTTTTTAAGCACTAGGATTTTTTTTTTTAAATATAAGATTTTTTTTTTTTTTAGATGCTAGAATTTTTTCTAGGATTTTTTTTTAAATAAATTTTTTATAATATCAGTAAAAGCCCATTTGCAAATTGATAAGATTGTGCAGAAGGATGAGTATAACATTAAACACTATTACTATTCTTAATTTATTTGTTTACTCATCTATTCTATTTACTCATTTATTTATTCATTAATTCTATTTACCTATTTACTCATTTATTTATTTATCAATTATATTTACTGGTACTTATCATGCATTTATCATTCAATTATTTATTCATCTATTTATTATTTATTATCATTCATTTTATCATAAAACAACAATTTGAAAAAGCAAGCTGCATTTATTTTTATAATTAGTTATGAGTAGAGATGCCTTAATGATTGTTGTAATTAGTTATGACCTTCCGTATAAGTGCGAAATAATACTCGTGGGCATTATTTTGAAAATTAAAACCCTCAAAAATAACATTTACTGTCTTAAAATAACACCTATAGGCATTTCGAATTAACGCATATCCCATAATAGACATGAAAAATGAAGTCTCATCTTATAGATATGACTTGAATTGTGCAAGCATGTATCTAGTCATAACTGGTTTAAACATGATCTGTTATATTAAAGTTTTTTTTTTTTTTAACGAACATAGCTGATAGTTACACCTAACGAATATTTGAATATTATCGCGCAACAAACACTTTTAAAACATGTTACATATGAACATAATTAACTGAAATATGAACCTAATCTTATATATACTAATCTTATTCTAACTATAATATAGCTATTAGCTCTACACTAATTTCTAAATAACCACTAATTCTAACATAACTTTTAATATAGCCACTAACCCTATCCTATTTTTTAATATAATTGCTAATTCTACCATAACCTTTAATAAGCTGCTAACCCTACTCTAACCTCTAACATAGCCACTAACCTTACTCCAACCTCTAACATAGCCACTAACCTTACTCCAACCTCTAACATAGCCACTAATTTTCTAAATGAAAATATGACAACAACAGTACTAGTAAAAGAGAATTCATAACCAAGCAACGATCAGTAAATGACATGGCACTGGTAAAAGCGAAATATCAACAAATCACCAGTAAAATGACAACAGAGAGGTGAAAACACAGTAGCATGACACCAAGAAATGCCCACACAGAGAAATGCCACACCAAGAAATGACAGCACCAATAAATGATAATGTCGGCCAAAGCAAAGACACCAATAAATAGGTTGTTAATAGAGTACTCCAAGCTATAATAAAACATATAAACCACTTCAGTTTTAAACTAGAGTGGTTTATATGTTTTATTATAGCTTGGAGTACTTCATTAACAATCCTACAAATAAATAATACCGCTGGCAAACGACATCATCAAAGTGAAGATTTCATCAAACAGCAACAGCAACGACACCAATGATGATAATATACATGATGCAAAAGGAGAGAATTGATTAGTAAGAAAAAAATGATATTAACAAAAAAAATTATATTGTTGATCTGTATATTAAAAATTAAAAACTTTTATAAAGCTGACCCAAATCAGTCGATCTTATCAACATGTGTATGGATCCTAGTTATATAAGGTAGCACCACTATGCAAGGGCACATGTGCATTATTTTTAAAAACAACAGTTCAAAAATCAACTCTGGTTTCGAAATATCGCACTTGAAATAACGTGCAGGTAGGTGTTATTTCGCACTTGTATGGTAAGCTTTAGCTAGTTACAGTTTAAGCTGTAACATTATTGGGATATCATTGGATGAATCGCCTGCACCTTTAGTTACAGATTAAATACAAATATAATTAAACCTTATTTTTAAAAGTCTAGTTTTTATTCAAATTTATTTTTAAAGCACTTACCAGTAGTTCTAAAATATACTACTATTATGTGGTTTTGCAAATATGCTATATGTGAAATCACTGGATGCATATAAAAAATAAAATTGAAATTCTATCACTGTTCACCTGTATTCAATTATATTAAAGCATGTCTAAATATTAAAAACTAGTTTTTTACCAGTTTTTACAGAGGTGCTTATTTTCGGATATAACTAATATGTGGGGGTGCTTATTTTCGAGGAGTGCTTATTTTTGGAACTATACGATATAATAACAACAAAACTGTATCTAGTATTACATTCTCTGTTAACTCATCTTACAATAAAACCCACATATACCTTCCTAATGACACTCTTCTGTCAGATCATATTCTTATTGCTCTACATCTTCTTTTACTATTCTATAAACTTCTTCTCAGATCCAACCCTCTTAGCTTTACTCCTATTTTATCTGATCCTCTCTCTAATGACCATTACATAACTCCTATTGATTATAACTCTACTTTACACTCTTCTAATTCAAGTTCTCATCATCTTAATCTAACTATTACTATACACAATGTTAGAGGCTTTAATGATCTAACAAAAAGAGAAGCCTGGCAAGATTACTGTCTTAATAATAACATATCTATTGCCAGTATTA